CAACCCTGCAGAAAGAGTCTGTTCAGAGCTTCTCAAACCTTAGGTCTTGGCTCATTTTGTCAGGAAGCTGTCATGTCCTGGAAAATTCATGTACAAATTAAGAATTCTGGTTGATCTTGTGAAAATGTTGAACCATAGACTAAATAGAAAGAAGATCAACCATTTGGTGCCAAAGGTGTGGTATAACCCAACTAGGCTGGTGTTAAACTATAATGGTGACATTTTCGGGTGGAAGCACTCTGAGGAATGGGATGGCTGAAGCTAGGAGAATCAGGATGCAGTGGTTTTGAGACAGTAACATTCTCCAAGCCAGAATGAGGAAATCAAGATGCTGATGCTGACTTCTTTTAAAAGGAAGAGTCTGGGAGTGTCAGAAAAGACTCAGAGCTACACGGAAAAGTAGAGCTACACACAAGCAGCAGAGACATCATAGAGATTTCGGGAGCCTCCGTGCATGAATCATGTAACAATTATCATGGTGATTATGCTTGAATGCTGTGGATGTCAGTTTACATATTTGAATTCTGGCACATTTGTGTGCTCATGCTTTAGTTTTCTCTTCATTTTCTGCACTCAAAATACTTGTGCCCTCTGTAGCACCATACATCAAACATGTCTTGTTATAGCCCTGGCTGATGTGTCTTGAGGCCCTTTCAATGTTGGGACCTGGGTCTAACCCCCAGGGGCCCCTGCCTCAAGGTGTCAGTGTCAAAGAGAAGGATGAGACAAGCATGGTTTCATTCCATAGAGACATCTGAATAACTAACATTAACTGTGGGGCTAGGGAAATTGGACTGCAAGCTATGAGCTGTCAGAAGAGACTATTAGACAGAATACCTGCATCATGAAAGTGTATGTATAAGCTCTAGTCAGTTCACAGGGGTCAGAGTCTCTTCAGATTCAGGGAAGCTTCAAAGCACACAGGATCCAAGGAAGTAGGCACAAACATAAAAGCCTGGTTAGGATCTAGCCAGGGCTGTGCATTCATGTGCAAGACTGGTGCTATTCACCTACTCTTTCTCCTCCCACAGGCTAGGGACAGAAGTTTTACATAAACTGGTTTAAGTGAGCAGAAACTGGTTTAAACCTTTAACAGAATACATGTTCTGTGCATATAAACCAGTTTTAACATGGCTAAAATTGGTTTAAGATAAATCTGGTTGAATGTAGTATCAGATTTAACTGATTTCATAGAGTCATAGATTCATAGATGTTAGGGTCGGAAGGGACCTCAATAGATCATCGAGTCTGACCCCCTGCATAGTCAGGAAAGTGTGCTGGGTTCAGATGACCCCAGTCAGATGCCTATCTAACCTCCTCTTGAAGACCCCCAGGGTAGGGGACAGCACCACCTCCCTTGGGAGCCCATTCCAGACTTTGGCCACTCTAACTGTGAAGAAGTTCTTCCTAATGTCCAATCTAAATCTGCTCTCTGCTAGCTTATGGCCATTATTTCTTGTAACCCCCAGGGGTGCCTTGGTGAGTAGAGCCTCACCAATTCCCTTCTGCACCCCCATGATGAATTTATAGGCAGCCACAAGGTCGCCTCTCAACCTTCTCTTGCAGAGGCTGAAGAGGTCCAGGTGCCCTAGTCTCTCATCATAGGGCTTGGCCTGCAAGCCCTTAGCTATATGAGTGGCCCTTCTCTGGACCCTCTCCAGGTTATCCACATCCCACTTAGTGTGGCGCCCAAAACTACATACAGTATTCCAACTGCGGTCTGACCAGTGCCCGATAGATGGGAAGTATCACCTCCTTGGTTCTGTTTGTCATGCATCTACTAATGCACGATAAAGTGCAGTTAGCTTTGCTGATGGCTTCATCACATTGACGACTCATGTTCATCTTGGAGTCCACTAGGACAACAAGATCTCTTTCTGCTTCCGTGCTGCCGAGCAGGTCATTTCCTAGGCAGTAGGTGTGCCGGACATTTTTCCTCCCTAGGTGCAGCACTTTGCATTTCTCCTTGTTAAATTGCATTCTATTGTTTTCTGCCCATTTGTCCAACCTGTCCAGGTCTGCTTGTAGTTGTTCCCTGCCCTCCAGTGTGTCCACTTCTCCCCACAGTTTTGTATCATCCACAAATTTGGACAGAGTACACTTCACTCCCTCATCAAAGCCACTGATGCAGATACCGAAGAGTATCGGTCCAAGGAGTGAGCCCTGCAGGACCTCACTGCCCACGTCTTTCCAGGTTGATACCAACCCATCCACCACCACTCTCTGGGTATGACCCTTTTGCCACCCACCAGACTGTGCAATCAGCCAAGTCACAGCCTCTTAATTTGTTCACCAGTATGGGGTGGGATACTGTATCAAAGGCCTTCCTGAAGTCTAAGTAAACAATATCTACCCCTACTCCTGGGTCCAGGTGTTTTGTAACCTGGTCATAAAAAGACTAGATTAGTCAGGCATGATCTACCTGCTACGATCCTGTGCTGGTTTCCCCTCAGCATAATTTTTCCTGATGCACTTTCACATATATGAGCCTTAATAATCTTTTCAAAGACTTTACTAAGGATGGAGGTGAGACTGACTGGCCTGTAGTTGCCTGGATCCTCCTTCCTCCCCTTCTTGAAAATGGGGACCACATTGGCCCTTTTCCAGTCCTCCGGGACCTGGCCTGTGCGCCAAGAGTGTTCAAATATTCTTGCCAGTGGCTATGCAATGACAACAGCCAGTGCCTTCAGTACCCTCAGATGGAGCTTATCCGGGCCTGCCAACTTAAACGCATCCAGTTCCTCCAAGTGACTCTGCACCATCTCAGGGTCAATGCTTAGTAGTCTGGCACCCTGCTGTTGTCTCTCTATGATCCCATTGTGAGACTTGTTTTGCCCCTCGTTTAGGAACACTGAGGCAAAGAACTCATTGAGGAGTTCAGCCTTGTCCTCCCTGTCTGTCACCAATTGTTTTTGCCTGTTCAGTAGTGGTTCTATACCGCCCTGGACCTTCCTTTTACTCCCTATATATCTGAAAAACAGTTTTTTGTTATCCTTAACTTGGGATGCCATCCTCAGCTCCATGGTAGCTTTGGCCTTTCTAACTGCCTCCCTACAACTGCGAGCTGAGGAGGCATACTCCTCTTTAGTAATTTCTCCCTGTTTCCACTGCTTCTGTGCCACCCCTTTTTGCCCTTAGGCTGCTCTGGATTTCTCTGGTCAGCCAAGGAAGCCTCTTGGCCCCTTTCCCCCTGCATCGGGATCGTCTCCCTCTGTGCCCGAAGGATCGCACAGCCACCCTTCCTGGGCTCCCATCTCACCCAATCTCTTATTCTGTGGTGCGTCATTGACTAAATGTCTGAGCTCACTGAAGTCAGCCTTCCTAAAGTCTAGCACTTCCACCCTACTAGTTACCTTTCCCACTCCACACCTTATGGTGAATTCTATTATTTGGTGGTCACTGTCCTGCAGGTGACCACTGATCTGTAGGTCCTCTACCATGTCATCCCCCGTTGCCAATACCAGGTCCAGCAAAACATTCCCCCTAGTGGGACCATGTACCTCCTGTGTCAGGTGGAGGTCCTGTACACAGGATAGGAACCTGCGTGAATGGAGGGAATTTGCTATCTGTGTGTCCCAGCAGATGTCAGGGTAGTTTAGGTCCCCCATGACTACTGCTTCCCTAGTCTTTAGATTTGGCTCAAACTTTTTTAAAAAACTTCTGTCCCAGACCCCTTCCTTGTTCAAGTTAAATCAGAGTCTCCCAGCATCCCAGCATTTTGCAGCCCTGGGCTGCGCTGGGGCTGTCTGCTCCTGAGAACAGGGCTGGTCCTGCCCATTTGCTCCTTAGCTGGAGCAGTGAGGACTGTCTCACTGCCTCACTGGCTGGCTCACTGCACCCCCTCCCCCCCGGGCAAACCCTGGCTGGGGTCTGGGGCCAGGGAGGGGGGTTAAACTTCCTTTCCCCTAAGTACAGAGCACCCCCTCCCTGCTTACTTAGTGCTGTCTGTGATTATGGACTACAAATCCCAGAAGTACCTGGAAGCAGGAAGAGGAACTGATGAGCACTCCTGGAGAGTCCTGTTGTTGTGATTGTGGACTGCAAATCCCAGAGACCTCAGGGGCAGCAGGAAGAGGAAGCGAACACATAGCCCATATTGGCTATGTGAAAGAGAGCCATGCTCTAGCCCCCCCTGGCTTCGGGCTTGAGTCACTACAGGCATGTGGCTGCAATTGCTGAATCAAAAGTGAATGTCTGTTGATTTGCTTATTGGTTCAATGTTTGCAGCTTAGACTAAACTGCAAAGACTGAATCAATTCACCCTTGGCCTTTTTGACCATCTGTACTTAGTCACAGAAACCATACAGAGTATGTGTAGAGCTCTGGATCCATCCAACAATGCACTAGTTAAAACAGTTTCTTTCATGTCCTGCTACTGGGATGGAATAGCTACTCAAGGGACGCATCTACATGAGATGCTACTGCGCAGTGGCACTGGCACTGGCAAATGTCTTTTAGGTGATGTAATAATGCAGTAGCATATTAGCACTGTCCATGCTGTGACACATTATTGTGCAGTATTTTTCAGCTAGTACACAGTTAGCATCTCAAGTAGACACACCCAAGGAGAGAAAAAGATCCTGGGCAAGATTTTGGCTAGATGTTGGAAGAAATATTAACATTAAACTATAACCTTGACATATGGGTCTACAGAGTTACCAGCTAATGAGTAACTTGAAAAAGAACCTAAAATATTTATCTTGCATATATACACTTAAGCAATTTATGTGATATAAGAAAAAAATCATAACTTTTAAAGTTTGTCTAGGGCATTAACCACCTTTTGAAGCATTCCCTATACCTCATAGAACATTCTTAACTTTAACCAGCAGAAGATGTTTGCTAGAGATTGGATCTTTAAAGCACCCTTTTTCCTCCTTCAAAGCATATTTTGTAGAAGTCCCATAAACTTTATTTGCTATATTTCTTTTCTTAAAGTGGAAAATGTTACAATTGCTTTTATAGGTGAAAATGACAAGTACAAAGACATCTTTTCTTACCTTCTGCTGTTCTACCTGCTGGTAGTGTCTTGGGAACTATAATAAAAAACATTTGTTCATTATGTAGATATAATCTATCAAAAGGTGGAACTTTTACAGTTTAGACAACAGTTGCTTTTAGTATGTAGATATGCTCAGCTGTTGTACATCTCAATAATTCTTGCAAAAACTAATTAAATCTTTCTGAACATGTTGCAAGTGCTGATTTTATATTTCCTAAGGTAAGATAATGTTCCAAAGACAGGGGCAACATTACTGGAACAACGTGATTTAACACTACTGAATGAATAGAGGAAGTGCTTGTGTAAACAAGCCTGCTGCTGTGTTGACTCTGTTGACATGCAGTGCTATCAAAAGACTATCATAATCAGGTTTAAGAGAGAGAATCTAATTTCCTCATCAGCTTGCAAGGAGCTAAATGCATATAAAGATAGGGCCATTTTTTTTTTTAAGAGAAAGCATTTTCATTTCTGATGAGTACTCAAAACCTGGGAATAATTTGAACTTCTTTAAGCCAAAGGAATGGAACTGGGAATCTGGTTAAACTCTCACTACATTCCTATTAAACTCCAAACAATTGAAAAACAGTCTCTTTTATCAAATGCCATCATTTTTTCATCTATTTTGACCAAAATCTGGAGAAAGGGGTGTGCGCAAAAGAGGGGGGAGGGGAGAATTTCAAAACAATTACATAACAGATTTCATTGCAAAATAATGAGCAATGCAACTAACTTTGCATATTTAAACATTTAATATAAGCCCTTATTCTGCACCTTATTTATTTTATTGTTTTGAAGGTCTAAACCAGTTATTATCTGTACTCAGGGAACTATGAGACTTAGGAAGTGTTCCTAAAATATCATCCATGATGGGTAGTTAATAAGAACTTGGAATTGTCTTATTCCAAGTTTAAATGTACTCTCTACTTTCAAGAGTGATCAAAGACTAAAGTATGGTTTAGAATAGGTGGTATGAGCCACCAAGCCTCAAAAATGTATTGTTGAAAAGGAGAGAGAGAGAGCACAGATGTTGAGGAGAAATATGGAAGCACTGTCCTACCAGAGATGGTTTTGCCTGAATATTTGGATCCAGTTCCCCAAATTTCAGAAATGCCGGGATCCAGGATTTTGGTTCCGGGCTATCGCTAATTTATAAAATGGGCATCAACCCATACATCATTAATTATATTGTCATTTAATTTAAAATGACACATAGATACTGGTTTTGGTTAAAGATTGCAGTAGGTTTATAACATGCATTGAATTCTACTCTAAAATAAGAAAGAGCATTCCAGGCAATAGCAAAAACCTCAGGCTCAGATTCCCAAAAGGACTTAAGTGTAAGCAGTGCTTAACATTGCCATGCCTAACTTTTAGGTGCTAGAAGTATCTGCAATGTCCATGTGCTGTGCTAAACTCAATTATTTTAGATAGTGCTAGTTGTGCTGAGAGGGGCCCTGATAGATTGGGCCCCTCTCAGTATTGAGACACAGGAATGTCAGCTGTGAGCTAGGCACTAAGACTCAGCTCTACCAAGATGCCAGCAATTCTAGACATGTGTAACAGTTTAGCTTAAGGTAGCTAATTTTGCCCTAATTGGTAAAACCTAGTTGCTTATAGGTTCTCAAGGGCCTAAATGCTCAAATGAAGTTCCTGTGGACCATTTACTTGGAATTAAGAGCTTAAGTTCTGCCCCCCTCTCTCTTTCTTTTTATTTTCCTTTTGATCTCGCTGATCATATCTGTCTCATGTCCTGATCAGTTGCTTATTGCTTCAGGGTTGAGTCAAAATACTGAAGTGGTGGAATCTAACTGGTTCAGATATTGATACAAGCGCAACTTGCTCTGACACCATGTTTTGAGTGTGTTTTGAGGAGGGCTACCTGTCCTCCATTATTAAATTTCTACTGAATGAATGAATTCTTGTAAAAGAAATATACTTATTATCTGCAAGGCAGAGAAGAATTTTCATACTCTAAGGTGACATAAACACTAGGGCTATGTGAAGCTTCGGTCCCTGATTCAATTCAGCAGAGATTTGGCCCGATTCGGTGGCCGAATCTTTGAATCTGAATCAAATCAGGAGATGCTTTAAACTCTCCAAATTTAATCGGAACCCTCCAAATCTATTCACAGAGATTCAGAAAGATTCGACAATTCAGATATAGACACAGCTTTAAATGTTTTTTCTACATACCTCAAGGTATCAGGCGGCTTGTGAACGCTGCAATGGTGGGGCAGATGGAGTGTCCCACAGGAGTGCAGGGGGCTCCCCAATGTGCTCAGCAGCAGACCCAGAAGTGGACCAGAAGCACTTCTGGTCCACTTCCGGGTGCACTGGGGAGCGTGCTGCCCCCCCCCGCATCCCGCTGGCTTAGCAACTGGTGCCTCCTGGGTCTGGGGGGGCACATGGGGTCCCTCTATGGCCAATTGCCAAGCTGGGGGTGCAGGGAGCTCCCTTCAGGGGATACAGGGGGGCCCTAGTGGACCTGGAAGTGGACCAGAAGTACTTCTGGTTCACTTCTGGGTTCACCGCCGAGCACACAGGAAGCTCCCCCATGCTCCCATGGGACACTCCATCCACCCCAACATCACAGCATTCACAAGCCACACCTGGTACCTCGCGGTACATAGAAAAAATATTTAAAGCTGTGTCTATGGCTGAATCACTGATTCTCCGAATCAGCATCTAATCTTCAGATTTGGATTCGGCCAAATCAAATCACTGTCCCTGATTCAGGGAATTGATTATGGCCCGTTTCACACACCCCTAATAAACACATAAGAGAGTTTGGAGGAACTGCATTTTTACTGCAGTTTTTGAGCCATATCTCTGCCTGAACTGTTTCTCCCTTCACAATAATGACTCTTACTTGTATGTACCAAAGTACTTCTCATTTTCTGTCTGAAATTAAATGCTTTACTATGCTATACAAAATGTACAGTGTGAAACAGAAATGGTAATTTCTTCTATAGAAAGAACTCTAAGCAAACTTGGTAATGCCTGCTTTGAAAATCAAGGAAGATACATTTGCTGAGGATGGCCCCTTTCCCACTGCTACCAATTTCCTGACTCAGAACCTATTATTCCATCTCAGCATTCTTTACTCTCTCCACTTGAACAAGTAAAGAGTTACATAGAAACAAATAATCTACTTTTAATCATGTGCACATGGGTAAGTACTAGGCAGGTACTTCTTTACCAGTGACAATAAGGCCAAGTCTAGGTGTGATTTACATACACATGGACTAGGGACAGACATTACACGTGAACCAGTTTAAGTGATCAGAAACTGGTTTAAACCTGTAACAGAACAGATGTTCAGTGCACATAAACCAGTTTGAAAATGACTGAAACTGGTTTGAGATAAACCTGGTTGAATGTAGCATCAGACTTAACTGACTTGGCTCAGAACGGTTTATGCAATGTCTGTCCCAGACCCCTTGCTGGTTGGAGATAAGAGTCCTCCAGTATCCTGGCATGCTCTCTGGCTGGGCGGGGCTCTCTGCTCCACAGCAGGGCTGGCCCCTCCCCTCTGCTGCCTCACGGGAACTCGGCAGTCTCTGCAGGCATCTGCCTGGCTTCTGCTCCCCCCTCCCCTCCCTCCCAACTCTGTGCTGAGCAGGAATTCCTCCGTCCCTCAAAGACACTTCAGCATTAGCTAGCAGACCACGTGCTGGCTACAGTCCCTGCTGTGGGAGAGGACAGAGGCAGACAGATTTTTTGGAGCTAATTAACAGGTAGCTTAATGTCCTTCCTTGGAAATGCTGTTTAAGAGCTGTTTGCTCCCCTCCTCCCCCAACCATTCCCTGCTAAGCAGGAATTCCACCTTTCCCCTTCTGCCTTGCTGAAGAGGTGTCTGTATATTAGCTAGCAGACCACATGCTGGGTCCATGCTGAATCAATAGGTAGAATAAACAATCTTATTGAGGCAATAAACATTAAGAAAAGGATGATAAACCTGGTTATCAGCCCCCCCCCCCCTAGCTTGTTTGCCTGTCAGTTTGCTGCAGACAGTATATAGAAGCAGGGAGGGAGAGTAAAAAACTCTGTATCATCAACAGATGCATGCACTGCACACCCACCCTTGCCTCAGAGTGCTAGCCTGGGGCTGCAGGCTGGCAACACTCCTGCCCCTTGAGCTGCAAGCAGAGAGAAACCTGGGACATCAGGCAGGGTGGGGGTTTACACCCCTCCCTAATCAGAGCCCTGCAGAAGCCTGGCCAGCACCCCCCTCAGCTCAGCTCTGCAAGGGCAGGGAGGGCTGCTCTAGTGCCCTCTGGCTTCCAGCCTGAGCCACTGCAGTCATATGCCTGAATTTCCTCAGTCCAGAGGGATTGTCTGTATGGTTGGAAACTGGTTCAGCCTAGTCAGGTTAGACTAACCTGGAAAGACTGAATCAATTCAGGCTCAGGCTTTTTGAATGTCTGTCCCTAGCCTAGAGGATGACCAACTGTGGTCTCAGTCTGTTTAGTCTGTTCACAGGTATAAATCTTAAGTGTTAGGGATTCCTGGTGTGGAGACTACAATATAGTAAAAGATGCAGGAGGAGGACGAAGTATGAATAATGAATGTAATGTACTGTGCTAATATGCAGCAATTTGTGTATGATAAGTGTTGTGCAAATATGTTTAATATTTTTATGGTGACTTACTTTTGGGGTAATCAAAAATTAAAATTCAGAGAATCATTTTGTTTTGGGGAAGAGGCATAATGTTTGAGAAACAAATACAATTAGCCTGTAACACAAAAAGAAAACAAAATAATAGAGTCCTAGAAATGGTACTGAACTAAAAAGCTAGTTTTATTATCCAACATATTTGTCCCCGTCAAGCATTTACTTTACCTACTCATTCTAGTGAATACGTTTCTTCGAATGTTTGTGAAATGAATGCATTTAAGGCTAGAATCCATTCCATCAGTTAGGTATCTAAGTGGACTTAGGAGCCTAAGGATAATTCTATTCCACTCAAACCTGTTAATACCAAAGTTGGATAGGTCCTCCTCCTCCTCCTCATGGCTGCTTTTTTTTTGTTTCTCAGTCTTAAAAGAAAAATGGCATTCATAGATATTCAGGGACTCAAGCAGGGGGGGACAGAACTGCACTCAGTGACTTGAGTTCCTTTTTGTGTGTAACCAGTAGGATACAATCCAGCCTTAACACACATTAATTTATTCCTACCAGTAAACTCATTTGCCAGAAGGTACATGAAAAATGAGAACAAGTTGGGTCACAATGTTTAAAGTGAAATAGATAAAAATGTAAGGGTATCTACAGTGCAAATTGAAGAGAAGCAGTACACCTTAGCCTTCAGTAAACTCTATGCTGCCATGGCTGGAGTAGATTACTTTTGGTACGTGAGCTAGCTCTTTTGCAACTAGATAAGCTATCTCTTCCGGCCATGGTAGTCTGTCTCTTGAAAAGCTTTAATTTTGTTGTGGTGATTATTCAACTACCCTTCTTTCCCTCCAACCCCCTCCCCCACAATATGTCTTCATATTTGGTGATAATTTTATAAAATTTTAGTCATTTAAGTGGAAAACTGAAAATCCAAGTGTTGGGGCTAGACATTAATTTAAAAAGCAAACGGATCAATTTGGACTGGTTTTTAAAATTCAGACTAGATTCAGATTTGAAGTTTGGCCAATATTTTCAAGAACATATGTCTAACTTTGCGTTCCTAAGTTCAGGGTTGAATACCTAAATAAATGCTTGGTTTTTGAAAATACCAAGCATCCAAGGCTCCCTGTTGACTTTTTTGGAAACTAACATGGAAATTGCAGTGAGTTCAACATTTTTCAAAGTCAGACCACTTAGATTCTTGTATACCGACTTAAAACTTCAAATGTAGCACCTGTTATTGAAAATACTGGCCTTTGCAATTAGCTTTCATATTATGAGAAACTGCTCCAAAGACTTACATTCAAATATGCCTGGGCTCCAAATTTTTAACGCCTGTATTTTGGTTCAGATCCATTTCTTAGGCTTAACTCCGCATCTTAACACTAAGCAAAAGATACACTGAAGAAAATGCACTCCGTTAGTTTGCAAGGTTCCAAAAGAGTGTAGAGTGTGAAGCTCAAGGCAATGCAACCAGTTGAATAGCATTCCTAAAGCAAGCCTCAGAGGCCACTAGATACAGAAGTCATGGGGATCTGTACAAAAGGCCAGGGTTTTCTTCAGGGAGTTCACATATAAGGTACCTCAGCAACAAAGTACAGTTACACCCTTCAGATAAAAGAGACATTAAAAGAGTGGCTTTTTTGTATAATCCAGTAGATGGTGCTGTGATGCAATAAACAGGCATATATACATGAAATCTAAGATACATAGCAGAAGGTTATTCTTAATTCTTTACCTGGTGCTGTTACTTTTACAGCGACAGGTTTAGCCACAGGAGCTTTTGCTGGCTCTTAAAGAGAAAAATAAAATTAAACCAATTATTATAAAGTGTTATATCATGAAATACAGAAATAAAAGGGAAAGCACCAAAGGAAAAACATAGCCCTTGGCATATTTTCATAGACTTCACAGACATCAGGGCTGGAAGGGACCTCGCAAGATCATTGGGTTGAGCCACAATTGGAGCACACATTAATGAGAAAGAAAGAAAAAAAGATTGTTTTTCAAATCTTTTTAGAAAAAAACAGATTTCATTTCTGAGTGAAGAAAGAAAAAAATTATCTGAACAAGAGAAGTGCTCAGTCACATTCTACTAATTCAAAGCATGGAAAAATAAGGGGCAAGAAGGGTTATTTAGACTAACCCATTAATTGCTGTATTTAGGTATTGGCCTTTTTCCCCCAAAATTTAATTTTTACAAGTACTGAATCCTCATTCACCAGTAATACTAGTCAATATGGAGTAGAGATCCGCTAGGGTCTGGAGGCATTCCTTTCACCAGTTTGAAGAAAGATCATAGTCACTTCGTAGTTGCTACTGATCCCATATATAGAGGGACACAGCCAACTAATTCATGGAACAGCAGTTCCATTGATCTTTCATAACACAGATATAAAATTCTTGCTGTGCTGGAGTAAAGGAAGCTTCCATAGAGAAAAATAGAAGAATTCAAAAAAACAAAAATGGTGTCTAACCCCAAAAGGAACTCAGGGAACCTGCTCTCAACCCTTCACAGAACAATCTGATTGAATCCACTGGACTAGTTTATTTTTCATTAGAGTTTAGGTTAAGCCTTTACATCTTCAGTACCTTATGGGACAGATTGTGCCTAAACCAAGGTATAATTTGAAACAGTTTGAAGCCAAACATCACTGGTTTGTGTAATGGCGTTTGCTTTTCTTATCAGCAAAAACATTCTCTACCATAAATTTCACATTCTCATATTGTAAGAAGAAATCATTAATCATTTTAATCACAATCTGAATTACAGAATGCCAAAAAGTTAGTTAATCCATCACATCTGTTACAATGATATTAAAAAAGGGAAAAAAATATGGTTAAATTAGAAAAGCAATTTTGAAATCTTCCCCTCTGGTATATTGACAAGTTCATGAAAGATGCATCAGATTGTCATGCAAAATGTAATGAAAAAATATAGTTAACAAGTACAGGATTGTTCTGTTTCCATCCATTTAAAAGTATGCAGTAGATAATTATATCCTTACTAGTTCAGGTCTTAATTATTACTAAACCTGTAATTACTCAAGGCACTTTCCACTCCTGCAGAATGATCTGTAGGAGGAGACATTGTAGAATGGGTCCCTTTACAATTCCCTCCTAAGTCTTCATTCCTCCAAAAGAAACAGGTGGTCCAACCCACAAGCCCACAGACCTCAGGGACTGTGTGGAACTTGGGGGTAAAACAAAATGTTTTGTTTAACCTGAAATTAAATGTTTTAATTTTGAGCATTTTTAAACATTTTAAATTTTAAAAAAATAACATTAACATTTCAAAAATATGTAATAGAAAATATGCAATGTTTTGATCCAGATATGTCAAAACAAAATGTTTAAACATTTCAGGAGTTGTTTTTAATGTAAAAAAATGTTGAAGCCGATATCCATTCATGAATAATGCTTGCTGTTATCATTTAAAATGTTTTGGCTGAAAATATCCCCCAAATTATTCTTGGGCACTGTTGCCAACAAGTAACTACCTCTGGAACTATTGACTAAGGTGATTCTTCACTTAGAGGCAGCCAATTTGCAAACAGGCCTGTATCATCCCTTTGACTCAACTGGGCACCTTCTATTAATAATGTTACCCACACCTAGTTGTAGAACTAGACTCTTGGCCTGTGGTATCTTTTGTTAAGTTTTTACCCAAGAGAAAGCTGGAAACATAATGGAAGCATATACTCTGAGCTCCAAAGTTCTCAGGAGGAGGTGTTAGAGAGTAGTTCAGAGATGAGTGAAACCCCTTCTACACAACCTAGAGAAAATTAGCTCTGGATCAGTGAGAGTGAACAGTATCTTCAGATACCCAAGTCATAGTCAAAGATGGACTGAAGCCAAATGGCCCATCAAGTTAGCATGGTTAAGATAAACCAGTTTCCACAGACATCATCACACAAAGTAATTTAATTAATTGAAGCTTGGTCACAAAAAGAATGTGTATTAGGTGTATTAATTATGGTGAAGCATTGCTAATTAAAAGTCTATAGAAATAGAGGTACTAGGGCTAGCTACTTTGTTGACTCTTAAAACAGTATTTTAAGAGATTGGTATAAGAGCCAACTGCTGAAATCTTTACTAATTCAGAACTCCCTCAGTGAGAGTTTTTTTGGTACACAAGCAAGTCAGGGTCATGATCTACATGTTTGTGACTAGGCTTTGTTTACATGACAGTGTGAGAGTCTTTGGGCATTGCTCTAGAAACCTGCCAGCACACAAGCCTTCCCAGTTAAATCACCAAGATCGCAACCACTGAGAACACATGCAACTGAGAAGACATTTGACATTTCTGTCCCTGTGAAACCCTCTGCTTTTGAAGACATGTGATAAAGAAATGGGGAAGGCAAAACTGTCAGTCACAAAGTAGAGTGTGGAATTAGAAATAGCATGAGAATAGATTTAGATAGAGGGAGGCAGCTAAAGTCTAAACATGTCATTTTTCAATTATAAATGGTGCAGCAACTTTCTTTTTCACTCCTTCAGCAATTTAAATAACTGTTATTTGGGGGTATTGATACACATTGTTTAAAACTGCTTCTTATGCAAAACAAATAAAAAAATCAAAAATCAATGCAAAGTAGCCAGCAGATGCTTACTTCTAGGTTCTTTGACCATAACAGCGTCTTTTTTTTCTGCAATATAAAAAATAAATGAATGTATAAATTAGCATGTACAAATAAATTTAGACAGACATTAATAACAAAAGTCACTGCTTTGAGGAGAGGACACTGCATGTTTTGGATGTGCATTGAAACAAGTTACTTAATTCACTGGGGCTAGGGACAGAAATTACACATAAACCGGTATAGCAATTAGAAACCAGTTCAAATCAACAAAAGTTTGGTGCACATAAACTTCCTTCAAAATGGCTGAAACTGGTTTAAGATAAACCTGCATAGATGTAGTATCAGACTTAACTGATTTGGGTTAAATCAGTATATTGAATTGCTGTCCAAGAGCCCTTCCAGATGTAAGTTAACTCAGTTCCCCAGCATCCCAGGATGATTTGCACCTCCTCTGCAATCCTTGCCCTCTCCTCCACCGCAAGTGGGTTGGCTGGCCTTGGCCCATCCTAGTTGTCTGCTCCAGCTGAGCAGGGAGGTCTGCTCTAGCACTCCCCAGTTTCTGGCCTGAGCCATTGCAGGCATGTGGTTGCATTTCTGGAATCAAATATGAACGTCTGTTCACTTGCTTATTAGTTCAATCTATGAAGCTTAGACTAAACTGTGAAGATTGAATCAACTCAGCCTCAGGTTTTTTGACTGTCTGTACCTAGACTGGAAGGTTACATTAGTTTAATTTGAGGTACAGAAGTCTAAATGGCTGAACTTCTTAGGGGGGCGGGGTTTGTAGTCTGTTTAAAGTAGTTAAAACTATGCTTGGTTTACACTGAAATATTCCTGAAATAGTCCACTGAAATAGGCTGTTGCACAAGATTATCACACTTTCAGTTAAAGTGGATAAAGTGCAATTCTGCATATAAACAAGATGCTATTTCTGATGAATGAGTTAGGTGAGAGTGCGATGTACTGAGCTTTACAGAATAGGAGGAGGCTGAACAAACGTATTCTGGAATTGGTGGCATGTCAATGAAAATAATTTTTACTATCTGCCACAGGGGTTTTAACAGGCACTCGTGGCTGTGTTCAGATGAGTGTGGTCATACAATATGTGGCACTGCAGACACATCTGTAGTGCCACACATTCAGTTGTTTTCCGCACTTCAAGGGAGCAGCACAGAGAACTTGTGGAAAAAAAAACCATGGAAAAAGAAAGCAGAGCAGCGCACACGGTGGCAGTGTGCACCGCCCAAAGCCGGAGCCTGGATGGCTGGACCAGCACTCTTCTGCCGGCCAGGCTCTGCTTGGCAGGATCACTGCTGCTGCAGCCTCAGGAGGCCCCCAGGATCCCAGGCAAGGCTGCTGGGGCCAGCCCAGTGCTGGCCCCAGCCTCTCCTACCCCATCCAGGGTAACCTGTTGCATGCCTGAGCACCCCTGGCACAGGCATTTCCTGTGAACAACTAGCAGTGGCACAAGGTACACTGCCACAAGTTGTCCCCAGGAACCCAAATATCCACGCACATCTGGATGCGGCCTGACTGAGGCAGCTACATTCCTTGGATTACTGTTAATGGGCACAGCATACTCTGCTAGTGTTGTCTGTATGTGTTAACTGTGATAATCTTCGATCCCGAAACAAGAAAAGGACTTATTAGAATGATGGTGGCATGTTTTAATTAATGGTACTGGAGTGCAGAAAATAAAAGGGAGGGGTCTAATATTTAAGGTCTTTAAAATATATATATAATCTGTATTCATTGCTTCCTTAACTAACTTCCTTAATTTCTAGTAGAAAGACTAGGCCAGCAAAAAATCCACTAAAATAAGATTGACTTCCAGCTGCAAAACTAAGACTAGACCATTACTGATAACAATATTGAGTTGCTTCAGTTTAAGTTGCTGTTTAAACTGTCATGGAAAATGTGATATGAGATAAGGTAACATAAATGACTGCCAAGCACTAATAGAAAAGCCTGAAAAATTCAGGGGAAAATAACATTTATATTTGGGTGATATACTGAGCTGAACTAAAGTGTTTCTGGGTTAATCCTCTACTTCCACTAACCCTCTGTGAAAGCATGTTTTGCAGGCATTACTTCAAAGTATGATAATTACCACATTTAGATGACATTAATCATGAAACAGCTTTTAGCCACGTTATCTGGCTAAGGGGCCTATTGAAGCCTTCACAAAGTGCCTATTAGTTGCTAGATATGGAAATTTTAAAAGGTGTATATTGCAACGATATGAATCATTTATCACAATAATCTGCTACTGCTGGAGGTTATAAAAAAATAAATAAACTGGCAGTATCATTTACAATAACAGACGTGATCTAAATAAAGCCCTCAAGCTCGCTTGCTTGCTGGGCCTCTTTCTTTCTTTCTTCCTTTCTTTCTTCTTCCTTCTGTCTGTCTGCCACCGTGGATGTAACCACTTATCAGGACAACATTCCTTAATATGTTTTAGAACAGCAAGTTATGTTAAGGCATCAATGTGTTTTTTCAGCTTAAACATATAGCAAACAGTAATATCTAAGCAAATATCTGAAGTGTTTTTTATTATGAAAGTGTTACCATTTGTTCTTCTTATTTTTTCTACAGCAAAACTACAGACAACTGATTTTATACAACAAGTGGTAATACACACCTTTTTACTCTGAAGGCGACATTTTTCAAAGCAGGAGGTGAAATGTCCATGTCACTTACATGCTTTTGAAAATTTTACTCTAGCACCTGGGCCCCTGAGGTCCTGTTCAGAATCCAAGTCCTAAATAAATGTTGTAGTCTTCAAAAGTGCAAAATACACAGCAGAACCCACAGAAGGAGATGAACGTGCTTAGCACTTACTTCAGAAGCACTGCAAGCCATCTTTGCACCTTGGGCACTGGTGGTGCCTGAGGCCAGGGGTGCAATGATGTGCTTCCAGTCCCCTTTCAGACCATGCCACAGGAGCAGCAGCTGGGGACTTTTTAAGTCCCTGATGCAGGTAAGAATTCCTCCCCTCCTTTCCTCTCTATGCTCACCAGCATGTTCCCTCCCATCCCTTCACCTTCCCCCAGTCTGAGGGAGTTTCAGACCTCCTACTCCTGCCCTGCTCCAGCTGGACTGCAGAGGGAACCAGGCACAGCGGCAGCAGTGACAGCAGGCGAGTTGCTCATCCCTAACCCATGCCCCCAGGTATTTCCTGCCAGTCTGGAAGCAAGCTCAGGAAGGGGGGAGCTGCCTGCTGCTACCATTGTCCCTTGCTGATCCTGGTTCCCCACACACCCTAGCTGGAGCAGGGCAGAGTGGCTCTAGAGCTCCCCCCAGCCCTCAGTCAGCTGCAGATAGCAGCAGCAATGAGCAGGGAAGATGGAGAATGGGAGGAGAGGAAATGTGCTGCTAAGCAGGGGGCGAGGGGGCAGGAAATGGTGGTGTTGGGGGTTAGGATTCTTGTCTGATTTGAAGATTTTAAAAAAGTTCCCAGATGCTGCTTCTGCCACATAGTCTGCTCACCCTGGTATCGGGGAGGGGAACTGGGAGCAGAGATGAAGCTGCACCTGCAGCTCTGTTTAGTGCTTCCATATCCCACTTTACAAAATCCTGAATCCACCCATGAGTGGGGCGGTGGCAGTGGCCAGGCCACTGGCAGGAGCAGCTGGGAGAGCTGCAAGGCAAAAATCTTGTGCTCCCTCTAAGTTGGTATTCAGGGCTGATGCTTTGGTTACCCACCTCTAGTTACACTGCCGATTTAGGTATCCAAATATTGATTTTAGACTCTCATTTGAAGGACCCATTTGTTAAAAATCTCAGCTACAGAAAATGTAATGACCTTTTACTGCTTTTAAGCAAATATAATTCTCCTCTAAAACCACAAATGACAGAATGAATGAGGTCAGAAAGGAAAGCTGTGGAGGAGAAACACAAGCCGTAAGTTAGAGTTGGTGTCACTGAAGTTAATAAGAGTTTTGTCATTGTCTTTAATGGACCCCGGATTTAAAGTATTTTATTGTGGGGGGGGAAAGATATTTCCATTATATTTGGCCCTTACAATCATAACTGCCTTTTTTTCTTAATCAGTTTGTTAACTCGGCTTCTCTGGCTGATGAACCTTCAGTTTTCTGCTTAGGCACAAAAAGGTGCACACGTACACACATACACACAGGCTCCTGGCAGACATTAAAATAATGGTGCCATTGGGATCTAAGAAAAGTTATGCTCTATCCAACACACTGCATATCCTGCTATGCCAGACATCCATAGCAGAATGTATGGTGCTTGGAATGAAGAATAAAATTCTTCCTATGCTAACTGTGCCACTGCAGGGCTACTCCCAGCCTGATCCTACAGATTAGGCACATGGCAGCCCTGCCCCAAAATGCTCAGCTGAGCATCAGGATCATGCACAGACAGTCCCGGGTCACAGTTCAAAACTCAGAGTTGCCCCAGCCCAATACCAGGGAACAGTCTGGGCTAGCCTTGGGACCAAGGCCTCTCTGAAGTCAGTACCAACATTGGCCCTGGAAAGCCCAGCACCAAGACATAAGGTTGTCTGTGTCCTGTGCTGACAATCAGCTAATAGTCAGGACTGGCCCCAGACATTCCTGGGTCTAATTGCCAACCCAGAGCTGCCCCAGCCGATGCTGTCAGCTGATTGTTAGCATGGATTGGGGCAGCTCTGGTCTGGAACACAACACAAGCCACATTTAATTTAAGGTGTCATACAAACCAACCACAACGATGGTCTACATTGTGTGTGGAATATTTTTGCAGTGGTTTGTCATTTTTGGCACCATAAATTGGCCAAATGTGGAGCATGTTGTAATTTATGGTGCAATTAACACATTACATAAGTTACATTCTTCTCCTCAACTTCAGGATCATAGGAAGTTACATTATAGAGGCATCAATTTATATACATTTCCTTTGCAGGCCCTCTTTGGCTATCTGTCCAGAAATACATATGCTCAGAACTTTGGAATTTGGTTTCTTTAGAACGCTTTCATTCCATGTTCCTTATATGAAGAACAGCAGCATATTTCTTTTTCAGCATATTTCATGTACGCCATATAATATTAACCACCTCCGGACAAGAAGAGGGAGTATTACGTCAGTAGAATAGACTGACATAACTTGTCAGTCAGAATGACAACAGACTTAACATGCTCATACTGTCTTTGACATCAGCTGTGGAGGCTATTTGCTATCCAGCTACAACCTATGGAAAGTAGTCTGTTTGTTTTTCTTTTTAGGGGACTTATTACAATGCCTTAAGGAATATAGTAAAAACTTTGGTAGAATACTGTAAAGCAGTTAATAAGGTAAATTACAATTTTCAGCATCGATTGCAGCTTTTAGATGTACATGTTGAGGCACCCTAAAGACACCTATATTTTTTAGAAAGTGCTGAGAACCCCTTAAAGTATCTCAGTTAGACCACCAAAACACTAAGGCATCTAAAATCACTACTGTAAATATTTGTGACAACTTTGACCATAGCCTTTCTTCAAAGTGCCATAAAATTTTATAATCTATAAAACAGTCCTAGTAGAATCATATGTCAGCTTTGGAGGATTATGAAATACCCATTCATTTTACAGTATTTATTAGGAGATATATGCACTACCCTGTGTTCTCTGTAGAAGAGTATAAGGTATTGTGTAATAAGAATACAACTCACCTTCTTTCTTTTCAGCTGGATGTACAGGTTTTTTTTTTACTGGCTCTTGAAAAGAATTAAAATACAGTTAAACATTTCTTTTTTATTTTTAAATATACCTCAAATATTTTAGCAAACACTATCTGAACTTGTTTTTTTTTTTAATCTGTACTGGCTAAAAGGATCAACTTTGAATTTATACCTAAAATGTGCACCATCTGGCAAACAGCACATCTATATATATATATATATATAAAATA